ACTACTACTACTACTACTACTGACCGTTCAGGACATGAAGTGACGCTGGCATCGGTCACGATACACGCGCAATTTCATCTTTGGGATTATCAATGCCATTTTTGATTACGATTGCGTGTAGTGTCGCATTGAAATTTTACCACGAACTGAGAACATGAGAGTGCTCTTCTGACAGGGTGCGGTCCGACGGCATCATTTCCAACCGGATCCGTGCCACGTCCAAGGCATCACGGGGGACTCCAGGAAAAGTCGTGCGAGTGCGGAGACCAGAGCTTTGCAGGCATATTGCCTGCAGCTCTTTCAGGACGAGGCTGAGGGAGGGAATGTGCAGCACAACTTCTTTTCTCCATGATGCTCTTTGTTTGTGCTTGTAGCCGGAAGCAGCAGTTGCCAGTCTAGACGATGACGGATTAGTGTTTACTAGGTGGCAATGCGATCGGATTGTTCCAGCGCCTGTGTCAGTTTCATCATGTTGTGTAGAGCAGGCAATTGTGCCGCAACAGCAGCAACCTGAGACTTCTTGAGGTCGGGCCGAAAGAAGCCCACCCAGCACAGGAAGCCGATCCGAGCAACGCAGATGTTGGTCTGAAGGATTAGTTGCAAGATTCCGGTATCGTGGGAGGCTTGTTGCCGACTATACTATAGCCCCGCAGTCTTACACAAGCCTGTCTCTGTCTCTGTCTCTCTTGCCCCCCTTCCCTCTGGCCTTTTGCATGCGAAAGAGCACCTATGGTCTCCATTGTAGTTAAGTCTCCATCCTAAACCCTAAACCCTGAACCCTAAACCCTAAACCCTAAACCCTAAACCCTAAACATTGTAGTTCCTTTTTTGGTTTAGCTACAATGGAGACCATAGCTAGGCTCAGCCGCCAGGTCCGCCGGCTTTTGGAGCAGCCAAGGCCCCGGCCCAGGAGCGCCTGAAGAGCTCCCCACAGAACCCAATACACCTTAATTAAGGAATATACCTTAAATTGTAGGGGTCTTAATATTATGATTTAAGGTATATTCCTTAATTAAGGGGTATTGGGTTCTCCAAGCTCACAGGGCCCTACGTAGGAGCGCTTCTGTGGCCGGAGCTGTTGCAGGAAACTGCGGCTGGTCGAAGCGACGTCCTGAGTTGCTGGAACAAGTCAGCAGTCTGAAGGCATACGTTGCAAGAGTGCTGCTCTGGCTGTTGCATTTTTGCACATTTTATTAGCGTGCAGTCGCTTTTAGAGTGGTGCTACTGGGGATGAGCATTAGAGATGTGGTCTTTCTAGAGGGGAGAGCGGTACCGAGGTCGGCCCACACATAGGCCCGGCATGGTTTTTTCTTGCCTTCGCTGCTTGCAGATACTCAGCGGGCGGACTGCATTGAATTGCAGCTGGTTCGCTTTCGCTGATGGCATTGTTGATTGTCTGCAGGCTCAGCCATGGAATAATTTACATGTGTTGCTGTACGACATGCTTTCCGCAGGGACAAGGTGTCTCTCCTTATATGCCCAGCCTTTTACCTATGTCCATGGCAGGAGACTGCATGCTTTGGGCCGCGGCGGAATTCCGAGAACAAACTCGAGCAACTGCCGTCGAACCTGTGGCACAGGCCACAGCCCTACTTTTCTGTGTATCGGTGGCAGAGAGAAAAACGGCATGTGCAGGTCGTGTCTCTCTTTCGCCGCAGTATTGCGGCGAATGGCTTTGAGCCAATCATCGCGTGGTGCTCAAAAGAAAGACAACCCAAGTCGAAGCAGCTCCCGGCCCGTCAGGACTTACACCATGCCTTCTGCGGTTCGGAGAATTCCGGAGGCAGGCTCTCAGAAAAGGTAGTGCTGACCTGTCCATGCGTTTCTCCGTGGCGAAGCATCCGCAAAACATTGTTCGTCGCTCTTCGAGGCACGGAGGCGCCAGCCACGATGCTCCAGCCATCCATTCCATGGATTCGCTTGCACCCAAGCTTGGTGGATTCGCAGCAGAGCTGTGGAACATCGCTCCCTGACGGCCTGGCGAGGCTTGGATTCCGTGGTGGACGAGGATGTCAGAGCCCTGCCCACGTGCAGAGACTGGCATCTTCATCCCAGGCTCCTGTGCAAACCGAGGTTGATATCCTGAAGATACACACGAATGGCGGAGAACGTCAAATCCTCGACGGTGCGGAGAAGCTGTTCGTGCGACATGAGGTTCACCGCAGCAGCAAGAGGAGTGCACGTATTTAGTGTTGTTGCCATCTTGGTTTGCTCACTGATGCGTGTTTGACAAGTTCATCCCGGTGTGTCAGATCATGCCTTAACTTGAGCAGGTTCGCGTGGTGATCCTGCACTCAGCTCGCATCCAAGATCGTTTGAGGTCACTTCCAAATTGGGGAGTGCTACGCAAGCTTCGAATTACTGCGAACCCGCGCTGCCGAACCAAAGAGTAGATTGGACAGGAGCCCCCTTTGTTGAACAAACAAGTAGAGGTTGTCTTTTCCCGAAGGGCAAGGGAAGCCCGAAAATGGAGGGGAGGGGGAACGTGGTTTGACCAGAAATGTTGCAGCAAACACTGCAGATGGTGGAAACAACCAGACCATGCCTTGCCGCTTTGAGCTCTGCAGCAGCAGGGTCAGGGTTTTTCAGCCATGTGCTGTGCAGTCCCAATGTGCGTAATTACTGTGACAGATCGACACGCACGGGACCCCTGAACTCTGAATCCGAGCAATAAGATGAAACGAGGCCGAAGCTCACCAGCTCTGGCCATCGACCACATTTTTATTGCATCGGAACTACGACGTCACCGTGGACGGGCGGAGGTGCCAGCTTGCAACAAGATCACCAGTCGGTTTGGAGGCCTATGCACCTGGGACCGAGGATGTCTCAATCCGGTGAAGACGAAGCTTGGCTCCGGACCCGTGTGGCGGAAGTCGGAGGGCTACAGCTGCATGCGTCAAAAGAGTTATCTATAAATTGCCGACATGTGGAAGTCCCATGCCCAAACAGAGACACAGAGAGTGAGAGAAGACGTATATATATATATATATATA